CATGGATTGGAAACTCTGGACACTGGCTGTGCTGCTAGCTCTACTGGAGCCCCAGCTACACTTCTTCTATAAGTGGACTAAGGGAAATGGGACTTTGGAAGCCCAGGGATGTAATTCCAGGCAAATAAAAATTACTCATCCTCCTGTGTGAGTCTCAGAAAATTCTTTTTCTTGAGATACCATAAGGACTCTACCCCCAGCACTACATGGGGAAGGGGATACCCCAACTTCCCCATGATAGTAGAACCCTCCCCTTTGTCCCTCCCTTATCCACATAAAAGATCAAAAATGATCTTCCTATGGACATTGCAAGTCTCAATATTAGTGATTTATTCCTTTGCATTAAGCACAACTGTAAACAAATTCTAATAAAATATAAATACATCTGAGAGGGATTAAAAATTAACTAGGCCTCAGTAACTTTAAGTGGAGGATAAGGACTCGGGTGCAAAGGTTGCTAAGGCCCCTTTTGGCTTAGACATTCTGCTCCTTGGAATGTCAGGGAGGGGATTTCTCAGCCTCTGGGGCACCCAGAGGGTGCTGGCCAGCGGAGTGGTGCCGAGGTTTGGATATGGGCACAGGAGACAGGTGGGCATTGACAGGGGAGACTTACCAATTCTCAGGTCTATTCAGCATCTGGCCTGCTAAGAAGTGTGCCGGGGGCCTGTGTGTCCCTCCAGCACCTGCGGGCCTGGCTGCCAGGTGTGAGGGTACATCAGAGCTTCAGCACCAGCCCACCTTTCTACTCCAGGCCCAGGTCAGGGCCAGTCCCACCTTCTGCCCCTCCTTCCTGCCACCACAGGGACCTCCTGCTCCAGTGATGCCAGTCCTGCTCCTTTCACTCTAGTTGATTCCCCAGGATTATCAGCCGCTCTGGTGAGGCCCAGCCTGGGGCACTTGCATTTTAAAAGAGCCCTGCTGCCCTGGCCGGTTTGGCTCAGCGGTTGGAGCGTCGGCCTGCGGTCCTGAGAGACCCGGGTTCGGTTCCCGCTAAGGGCGCGTACCTCGGTTGCAGTTAGTCCCCGGCCCTGGTTGGTCGTGCGGGTGGCAGCCACTCGATGTGTCCCTTCACATCGATGTTTCTCTCTCTCTCTCTTCCTCTCTCTCCCTCCCGCTCTATCTGAACAAAAAATGGAAAGATGTCCTCGGGTGAGGATAAAAAAAAAAAAAAAAAAAGAGCCCTGCTGAGAGAGGAAGGGTAGGCCCCAAATGCTAAGGAAAAGATTCCTGGAGTCAGTGGGGGAGATGTTTCTAAATGGGGTCCTCCTAGGGCTCCACGTATTATTACATGCTGGGGAACACCTGTGTCCCCCATTCCAAGTACAGTAGGCTTCATTTATTCTCTCCATCAAGAGTTATTTGTACCTACCTTGTGCCGGGCATTGCAATAGATGCTGGGAGTACAATGACAAATTAGGTAAAGAATGAACCCGGCCATAGGACATCTGCCCAGCAAAGAGCCTGCCCCGTACGCAGGGCGCCAGCTGTGGGGCCATGAGCTGATGCAGCAGCTCGGATGGAAGGAAGAGATCTGCCCTGTGGCTTCAGTCCTCCAGCCTTGCTTTCAGACAAAGGCCTTCTAGTCTAGAAGGCAGCTCTCCCACTTCTGGGCATGATAGGGTGGGCAAGCAGCTCTGCCCAGGTGGGCAGAGGCCCCCTGCCAGGAGCCACCCATCCTGCAGCGGAGAACCCTTTGATGTTACTCCCCTCATCTCCCCTGGAATACTCTTCCACTCTTCTTTCTTCCTATCAAAATCCTACCTCTCCTTTCCAACCAGGTCCTCCCACTTCCACAGAGCCCATGTTCACCAGCTAAGTTCACTCTGCTTGCCTTGCTTGTAAAAGAGGGACATCTTACCCTGCGGGCCTCGTGAAGCCCCTGGGGCTGGGGGCAGATCGTGGATAACACTGCAGCTCTGTGTGTGCCCTGCACCGTTCTAGAGGATGTGCTTTTATCTGCTCACTTTATCTTCTGAACGAACCTCTGAAGACACATCAGTATACCCACTTTATACAGATGTGGAAACAGATGCACAGAGACACACAGCTAGGGAGTAGCAGAGCCAGAACTTAGACACAGGCAGCTGGGCTGTCTGCATGCCTAGCCGACCATACCAAACTGCCCCAAAGTAGTCTGCCCATGAGAAGATGCTGTGCAAACTCAAGAACATTCTGTTCCCAAACGCTGTTGCCCCCGACATACCTTCATCCACCCCTCAGCTAGCCTTCTCTGATCAGACTCCTGAAAGCATAAGGCTGCTCCTGTCCTGAGGTGCAGGTCCCAGGATTACTTAACTCGACCCTAGGACTCCAGCTCCCCCACAAATCCCTCAGAAGCCCTTGCTTCCTCTTCCATGCTTTCTCCCAGATACACCAGCTGCCTCTGGCCCAGGAATCCATCTGGAGCCGGTGGTGTCAAGCAGAGGGCTGCAGAGGTGGGAGGGAAGTAAGAAAGAGAACTAGAGGTGGATGGCCCCTGACCTGTGCTGGCCAGCATCAGCCTAGGAGCTGAGGACCAGAACGAGACAGCCATGTACAGCTGCCTGCACAGGGAAGCCAGCCTGATAGCTAATTGAATCGGATGCCCCTACCAGGCCTCTCATTCTTCTACCTCCCCCACCCAGCTCACTGAGCCCCCCACTGCTTCCCAGCCCTGGCCTCCCAGAGGTCTCCAGCTGCCCTAGCTGATTTTATAAATGGCCCTGGCAGGAGGTGGGCACCTTGGCTAATTGAATCAGCGCCCATGAGGCAGGAGGCGGGAGGCTGGTTAGCATCACAGCTGAAAGGTGGTGGCAGCAACAGCTTGAGTGCAGCCATCAGGGAGGAGTCTGAGGGAGCAGAGAGGCCCAGGCAATCTGGGCCTTGGTTTATTCTGAAGCTCCAACGTGGGAACTCACCAGGGGCCCTGGCCTGGGAGCAGGTTTATGGAAGGACCACAGGCCAACACATACACAGACACAGACACACCATTCATATGCTCTGGAAAAAAAATACAAGAGGAGGCAAAAGAGAAAAGAAAATAAATAAGAAGAGTGATAATGTATGCTTCTATGTGCACATGCACAGTTACATGAATGTGTGTGCATCACTCTATGATGGGCACCAGTCACTGGCAGCTCTTACCTGCCCCGATGCCACCTCTGCATAATAACTAGCAAATAAAAACAGTTTCCTGGTCACAGCAAAGCTCCTGGTATCAACAGCTGCTGGGTAGCAGACAGACCCTGGAGCTGAGGACGCTTTCTCAGTCCTTGGTCTTACTTCGCTCCATTCCCTCTGAAACCAGCCTGTCTATGAATTGACTCCTCCTCGCCATGGTGGCACAGAAACGCTGGAAGGAGGGCTTTCTCTCTTCCTTCCTGTTTGAGGAGATGGATCCCTAAGTCTCATGCCTTCAAGAATCCATCCAGCAAACATCTCTGCAGACCCCTCTGCATGTGGGCTCAGTGTGGGTGGGGTGGGTCATTCCCCGGTTCCTCAGCTCTGGGTGGGGCTCCTCGGAGGAACGAACTCAGTGTGTGTGTCACAAGTGCTGGTGTGGTTAAGGCAGCTGCACTGTGCTGACACAGTTCTCTGCCGGATGACCCGCCCACCCGGTCGTGCCTTCGGGAGGGCCCATGACAATGTGGTCAGCATCCTCAACAACTGTCTCAAGGACTTTCATTACCCTTCCCAAGTTCCTCAAATGCTCCACTTCCCCTGTCCCAGCAGCCCTCACCCACCTTTCCCTGTAGCGTCCACCTACCACTTCCCCTTTTGAGCAAAGCTAACATCAGAGCAGAGAATTCAGAAGTTCTAGGATCTTGAGGTGGGGGACAGAGAAGAAGGGCAATTTTCAGCTTAGTGTCTCACACCTCTGGGAGGCAGAATCCACAGGTCTCCAAGAAGGATTTTGAGGATCTGAAGTACAAACTCTGAAATGCAGATTCCTCAAGCTATCCTCCATTCTTTGGGGTCATAAATATTTAATTTCCCTTTTTCAGGGTCAAGCCCACAGGCCTGGCCGCAGATAAGCCCCCAGCAGCGTTTTCCACAGGCTAACACTGCCCCCTGCTGGGCTAAGCTGACAGGTCCACCTCAAGTGCCACTGACAGAAATAAAAATCAAGGCATCCTTGCCCAAGAGCCCTGCCGAGTCCCACCCCTAGCCTGGACTGGGGAACAACTAAAACCCACAGAGGCAGTGCATTCGGGACAAGGGTTAGATGGTGGCAGCAGAAGCAGCCCTTTGGCACAGACAAGGAGCCAAGGACTCCCCTGGTCTCCAGCCTACTTTCATGCAGGCAAAGGCTTTGAGAGATACAACTGACACCACAGCACAACCGGGAGGCTGCCGTGATCCTTGGGTCGCTAGCTCATCTCCCTCCCACCTGAGAGCCCCTTTCCACCTGCTTTTGGCACTGCTCTGGCTGGACAGAGCAAAGCCATCTTAACCTGAACACATCAGAAATTAAGCTCTCCTTCTTCCCAAAGCCTGAATCTCTAGAACTTATTTCTGTGTTCAACATCCAGTAGACTCCAGGATCTGCAGGCCCTGTCTCTACAGCATCTTTTGAATCCACAGCCTTTTCTGGATTTCCCCACAATTCAGCCCCAGCCCACCCTACCCCAGTCCATTTCCACGGGGTTGTTGTCCCAATGGGCAGCTCTATGGGACTCTACTCAGAGGCCTTGTACAAATCCCTCCCTCCGGTTACATCCAAATTCCTCCACAACATGGCTGGAGTCTGCCTTCCAAACTATATCGCCCTGAGTTCCCTCCACTCTGAATGTAGAGGTCTTTCCTGAGTACATCCAGCACCTTCCCCCACCTCCACTCATGCTGGCTTTTCTAGGGTGCTCTCTTCACATCTCCTTAATCTTCATCGAACCCCTTCCCTCCCTTGAAGGTCCACCTTAAATACTACCTTCCCTCTGGAGCCTTTCTTGGTCCCCCAATGAACCCAGAGGTATCTCCTCTGACCCCAGGGCCCTGAGTCACCCTATGGTAGTTAAGTCCCCTTCTCATGATAGACATCTGTGCCTTTGTCTCAGCCCCCTCTGGGCTATAAGCGTCTCAAGGCCAGGACAGTCTGGAGCCTACACGCTGCCCCCTGGTACTGGCTGACTGGCTGGCAGCAGCAATGCACTGACCTACCTTTCCAGGAAAGCAGGTTTTGATGAAGAGAGTGTACAGGCCCTGACCTATGGGAATTGGCGCACACAGCCTATGGAGAATCACAGGGCCAGAGGGGCTCTCAGAGCCCATGTGGTGGAATCGTCTCATTTTAAAAGAGGACAAGTCTCAGGAGGGCAAGAGGTTGAATGGATCCATCCCCTTTCTAGCACAGAAGAGGCTCAAAACTGCCAACAGTTTCCTGTCCTCCAGTCCAGCTCTTCACACATATATCCCACTTCCTTTTATTTTTCTGATGTCGACCCTACACCAGCAAAGGGTTAGAGATGCTTGAACATCTTCCTCGGGGTATGCCGATTTCTGCGGATTCCCAACTCAGACACTTGGGACCCAGCCGAGACCCAGAGAGGACATTGCTGCTGGAAGAGGGGCTATCGATCGCCATTGGAAGTGGTCATTCCCGACAAGGCTGTGTCTGTCCCATCCCCACCCCGCAGCACTCATGCCACACAAAAACATTTCAGAAATGTTTACTACCACAGAGAAGTCCAAAACCTGCAGAAAGCCGCAGACACACTCCCGAGTGCGTGCAGCTGGGGCCGTCCCCCAAAGAAGACATGAGCAAGCAGGAGGCCTGCACAAGCTGGGGAAGCAAGCGATTTGCTGATGTCCTTTTCTCTTCTGCCCTAAATGTCTGAGGTTCCACGGGACCAGGGAAAGAAACAAGCGGAAGTGGGAAAGGAGTGGGAGGAGGGCGGGTCTCCTCAGAGCACTATTCCTGCTCTGGGATCTGACTCATGCAGCAGACCCAGGACAATCCCTCAGACCAAACCAAGGTGAGCCTAGGTTCGGGAAGGAGCAGAGGGAGGTACCTGGGATGCAGGAGGAGTCATCGGCAGAAAGGAGGGAGGCCTGCCTTTCCCCTCCTGCTCCTTCTCACCAGCCCCCAGCCCCTTCCTGGTGCGTACAGACCCACCTCAGTGCTAACATTCAGTGCGGTCCATAATTCTTCTGCCCACCATCACTTCGGACCTTTCTTAAGTATGACATTGTCATACTCAGTTCCTTGTGGCCAGCAAGAAGCAGGGAAGTCCTGCCCCACTGGGTAGATGTGCTGGAGGTCACTGGGGTCTCCATCATCTGTGGCCTGCCTCCTCCAGGAGTCACGCAGGGGTTCCTGTGGGCTGTCATACAAAGACAGGATGGCCACACCCTCAGGCTCATCGTATATGTGGTCAGGTCTTGAAGGCTGGCGCTCCTGAATGCTGTCGTACAGAGGGTCAATTGGGGACGGGGGAGGGACCACCAGGATGCTCTTCAAGCTCTTCGCCAGGTTCCTCCCCACCGCATCGAAAGGCACTGCATATTCCCCTTCTGGGCCCCGCGGCTGGGAGCGGGCCACCCGGCCAGTAGGCGAAGGTGGTGGCAGTGAGTCGTGAGGCTGGGAGTACGGGCTCTCCAGCTGGGGCAGCACTGCTGGGGCTGTGGCTGGCTGGGTTTGGGGCCCAGGAGGGACCGAATTCTTCTGGGCAGAGATGGCCTCTTCCAGAGCCAAAAAGATCTCATTGCCTTGTCGGGTTTCGAACTCAAAATTGCCCTCTCCAGAGATGCACCGCCGTCCTGCCTCGAAGGAAAAGGTTACCTGGGTCGAGGAGGAAAGACAGATGATTGGCAAGGCCACAGAACAGGGCTGCCTCTCCTGGACCTAGCTCTGAACCCCAAACCCATCACCTTTGACTTCTGCACTGGGGTCTGTCCGAGCCTTTGCCCAACCTGTCTCCCCTCCTTCTGTGTTCTTCCTTACAAGCAAAGCCCTGCTCTGACCTCCCTCTCCTCTCCCTGCATCCTCCCTCCCCTCCCTGCATCCTCCCTTTCCTCCCTGCATCCTCCCTCCTTACAAGCAAAGCCCGCTCTGACCTCCCTCTCCTCTCCCTGCATCCTCCCTCCCCTCCATCCAAGGGCCAAGTGGCACGGACTACATCCGCAGAACGCCTGCCTCTGCGGACCCTCTGACTGCTCCAGCTCCTCCAGGCCTCCTTTCCTTCGCCATCCTCTGCCTTCTCTCTCACCCCTTCTCCATCCATGCCTCTTCTTTCCTTCCACCCCACCTCCTCTGGTTCCCTTCTCATCCCTCTTTTGGGCCTTTATCTCCTCTTTCCTTCCTCCTCTTACTCAATCTTCCTCACAGGGTCCCTTGTGTTCTCCTGGACAGTTTCCTTCCCTGCCCCCATCATCCTTTCTCCCACCCACCTGCTGCAGCCGGCTCACCTTGTCGTGCCCAAAGCGCCGCAGGAACCTGTAGGGCCAGCTGTACAAGAGTGTGCACGGCTCAGGGCCACCCCACAGCTCCAGGGCACTCTCTCCAGTCCGGAGGGTGTAGGACCCCCGGAGCCGGCACCTGTCACTGGCTTCCGTGGGTCTCATGGTCACAGCAAATTCCTTGCAGGGGGCCACTGGGAAGGACAGGAGACAGAAGGTAAACAGCTGGCCTGCCTCCGCTCTGTCCTGCTCTCAGTGCACCAGCCAGTGCCAGCCATGTACCCGTGACCTGTTCTGTGCCAGGTCAAACCCCCAAATGCCAGGTACCTCCTCCATACCCTAGCAGGCATCATGCCCTAGCCACACGCACCCCGACCTCGTGCCCACATCCTTCCTACCCTGTTGCCAGAGCCACAGCCTTGTCTTTTCCGTCTCATCTCTCCCCCACCCAGCCACTCCCCGATCCCTCCTGTGCCAGCTGCAGGTGCACCTGACCCTGCCCTCACAACTCAGCCCACCTCTTCGGATGCCAGTCGGTGCCCTCTGTCAGGTGGAGACTGGACGTCCCCATGTCCTCCTCCTCCCCACACACACCCTCCCAGAGGACTGCAGATCGAAAGATGGAGGGTGGGGGTGCCTGTCAGCACATCTCCCTTGCTACAGGACAACTTCGGTTCACAGAAAGCAAGCCTTTTTTTTTTTTCCAGACGTTGCTCAGGTCCTAACACAGAGGGTCCAAGAGCAGCACTTTCAGTGGACCCGAGGCTCTGCCCTCCCCCCAGCAGGGCCTGGCAGAGGGAGTGAACCAAGGCTGAAGGGCTGACAACCGAGGCAGACCATGCTCCTCCACCTGGGGCCACACCCGGAAGTGATGCAGAGAGGCTGATAAGGGGGCTGGCCCGGGCTGAGGACAACCACAGGGCAGGAAGGCTGCTGTTGGCTGGCCCGCACCTCCTCCCACCACACCCCAGGGAGAACAGGCAGCCCCTTACCTGTGGTCGAGCTGCTGTACAATTCATTCTCCTCCATGCAGGGCTGGCTGCCCTTCCTCTCCAACCCAGACAGCTCCTTCTTCTGGCCCTGGGGAAGAGGCCAGGGTCTCACCACTGTCACCAAGCCCAAACCCCACCTCTGGGCCAGGATTTCTTTCAGGGCGCACTCAACCCGCTGCCCCTGGCTGCATTCTGAATTGGGGTCACCCCCACCAAGGAACTGCCCCCAAAATTCTGGCCTGGGCTCTTACAATACCTGCCCATAGCAAGTATCGCCTGCCCCCACTCCTACCCCCTTGTCCTCCTGCATCCCTAGACACTCACGGGGAAGGCCAGGAGGCAGATGGCCTGTATCCAGCTGCTACGCTCAGCAGTGGGGGTCGCCAGCAGGTACAGGCGGTCCTTGGTTTCCAGGAAGAAGGCGCTGGTGTCTCTGGGGCTGCTGGCTTCCCCGCTGGCCTCGGTCACCCGCAGACAGTCACTGAGGCGGATCACCCTCCGGGCAGCCTCTCCTCGGCGCAGCTTCTCTGGGCTATCCTGGAGCTCCAGCCGGGCCAAGGCACAGCCCGACTGTCTGTACAGCACGGCCCTGAACCTGCGCCATTTCTGAACCCAGATGCGTGGCAGGGAGGTACCGAGAGGGAGCCAACCAGAGATGGAGAAATGGTGAACAAAGGGGAGTGGAGGAACCATAGCAAGTAACTTGGGGAGAGAAGTAAAGATCCCAGGAGACCCCAGGAAGCAAACCAGGGCCTGAAGAATTAGAAAGCACTGGAATTGGAGATCCACCACAAGCAACCAAGGAGAGGCCTGAGATAACAGCAAAGAGAATGGCGGAGGCAGAAAAATCACAGTGAAGGTGGACTGTGAGGCGGCCAGGCAGCCCCAGCCCAGCAGATCCACATGGAGAAGTGGGAAAGCGTGTAAGCCACTGACACCCAGAGGGGTGAGGAGGGCGGGCCAGGGCCCAGGCTGGACACCAGCCTCTTACTGTGCAGAAGGCCCTAGCTCCAGTTGACCTTCCCAAATTTTCCCACCTCATCTCTTGACAGGATGGGCAGAAATGGATGGGTGAGGGGGGAAATGTAGGGGGGGGATGTGGGGGAGAGGAGAGGAGAGGACAGGACAGGAGAGAGAGGACAGAACAGGACAGGACAGGAGAGAGAGGACAGGAGAGGACAGGACAGGACAGGACAGGACAGGACAGGAGAGAGAGGACAGGAGCCGGGAGGAGCAGGAGAGCGGTGCCCTGGTGCGGGTCAGCTGAGGGAAAGAGCACTTCCTCATTTAAGGAGGCCAAGGAAGAAGGAGCAGGTTGGACACGCTGGGGCTCTGCTCAAGCTTAACACCAGCCAAACCTACCCCAGTGGGGCAGGAGAGAAGGAAGCAGCCTGCATTGCAATCCTGAGATATCCTCTCCACTGCTTCTTCCATTCCCTTCCAAGGTGTCCCCATGAGAAGAAGTCACCATAGAGCAAGAGAGGCAAGAGGGGAAGTTAGAGCCTTCCTTTACCCCCTCCCCCCAGGGGAGCAGTGACAGCAAAGAGCACAGTTTGGGGCCTGCTTGGGAGGCAAGCAGCTGCTAGGGAAGGAGCCCTCCCAAATTCAGCTCTGGGTCGAATGTGGTGGGTGGCACAGTCCCCACCATCTTGTAAGGGTTTGGGGACTCTCAGAGCACCCCTGTCCTCCTCAGGAATGTCTAGCAGCCCCCAACCCCTCTGCTCAGCCCCAGCCCGCCTTGCTCCTCCTACCTTTCCAAAGGTCTGCTGCTGCTGGAAGTACATGAAGCCCTGCTTCACCGCCGCGTCTTCCATCCTCCCACCATCGCAGTGCCCTGTGCTCCTCCCGCTCCGCCCTCTTTCTCTCCTCTCTGCCCTGCGTGTTCCCCTTCTCTCAAGTTCATTTCCTCTCTGCCTAGAGTTTTCTGCACTATTCTAGTCTGCTTGATGACGACAGGCTGATAAGCCCTGTGGTTTCTTGCTCTGTGTGTGTTTTTTTTCTTTTTGATGAGTGAGTTTCACGCTCAAGCTTCCTGCATTTTCAGTCAGTGAGAGATAATTTCCAAACAGCCCAATTCCAGCTCTTCAGTGAGCAGCAACTCAGGTACAAAAGCTGGCATGGGGAGTCACTGACAGAGAGTGGCTGACCCACGGGAACAAAGAGACCCAGAAACCAACTCTGAGAGTGAGGCCAACAGCCAAAGGCCCCACACTCAAGCTGAGTGCTCAGCATGACAGCTGGAAGAGAACTTAGAAATCAACCAGCCCAACCCCCTAGTTTAAAAACGAGGAGACAAGTCCAGGAAGGTCTGAGAGACATGTTAAAGGCCTCCAAGCCGGAACCCAGGCCTCTCAATTCAGTAAGAGCTGAGACCCACGTACCACCAGCCCACTGGACTCATGAGAGCTCACCACTTCCACACATAGCTCCACCTGTTTTTCTCCACAGGGAGTACTCCCTGCCTCCAACAACGACTCACACTTACACTGCCGCCTTGCGGTTCCAGGCATACGAATGTCCCCAAACATGCTACACTCCCAGAACATACCTAAACTGGTGGAGTTCACCATCTTTCCACACTTTGCGAGCATTATAAAGACAGAAGTTTCGCCCTGGCCGGTTTGGCTCAGCAGTTACAGCATCAGCCCATGAACCAATGAGTCACAAGTTCCATTCAAGTCAAGGGCACATACCTTGGTTGCAATTCATCCCAGCCCTGGTTGGGGTCATGCGGGAGGCAACCAATTGATATGTCTCTCTCACATCAATGTTTCTCTCTCTCTCTCTCTCTCTCTCTCTCTCTCTCTCTCTCTCTCTCTCCCCCCTCCCCTTCCTCCCACTCTGTCTGAAGATAAATAGAAAAATATCCTCAGATGAAGATTTAAAAAAATAAAAATAAAGACACAAGTTTCATCTAGAGATTATCTTTTTAAGTTACAATAGTAATCTCTTATGTTTTTTCTTTATTGGTTTTAGAGAGAAAGGAAGGGAGAGGGAGAGAGAGATAGAAACATCAATGAGAGAGAACATCGATTGGCCACCCCCTGCATGCCCCCCCCCCCCCCGGGGATCTGGCCCACAACCTGGGCATGTTCCCGACCAGAAATCGAACCAGTGGCCTCTTGGTGCGTGGGTCGATGCTTAACCACTGAGCCACACCTGTCAGGCCCTCTTATATTTTTTTAAATACCTCACAGTTACCAAAACAAAAGTGCTTCGTAGTTACCAAAGCTCCCAGTCACACACTGTGACCTGGCATACTATCTAACCCTGGAAGAAGGAAGGGTAAGAATGAATGCACCTGTTTGCAACTCTTCTCCTGAGGTCACAGGGCTGCTGGGGACAGAGGAGGAAGTTCTGGGGCTTCTGATCTATACTTCAATAGTCCTTTTACTGCTGACCCCTAAGTGGCATCAGGTTCCATGCAAGAAGGTAAATTGTTTGGGAAACCTACACTTCCCAGAGAATATTTAACTTAGAGCCAGATGGTTCTGAGGGAAGCATGATGCCAAAAAGTTGTAGAGAATGGGATAATTAGACCAGCATGCTTGGGGCAACCTCATAATGGGGGCTTATGGAACTGGGCCATTTCCTCCACCACTCAGGGTTCAGTTGCTTTGGGAAGGAGAGCAGATCAGTGCACAACTCAGGCCTTCTGCTGTACACGCAGCGGGATTTATCAAAACAGCTTTAAAAGATGACTGCTATAAGCTCTTGGAGGAGAGGGCTGAGTTACGTAAAGCTCGTGGCCCTCAGCCCTGCTGCCTGGGCTCCAACAGGTTCATCCAGAGACCAAGGGAGAATCAAAGGATGTTAGTGTGGGAAAAACTCCTTGGGGCGTGATCAGGAGTATGGAAGTGGGACATGGCCTATTCCAGTCCCTAAGAAGAGACATTACCTGGAGCTGTGTCGTCTTTGGCCAACATCAGCACCTCCTTATAGAGTGAAAAGGGCTTTTAGGGCCCTCCTGAGGCTGACCGAGCAGTGCCTTTCAAACGTAAATGTGCAGATCTTGTTAAAAGTGCAATTTCTGATACAGTAGGTGTGGAGTGAGACCTGACATGTTGAGGCTGTTGATGAGTGGGCCTCACTGAGTAGCAAGACAATAGATGTTTCCCCCACCACTCTGATTGCCTTCCCCTAAGGCAGAGGTTCTCAACCTGTGGGTCGTGACCCCTTTGGGGATCCAATGACCCTTTCACAGGGGTTGCCTAAGACACAACAATAGCAAAATTGCAGTTATGAAGTAGCAACGAAAATAATTTTATGGTTGGGGGTCACCACAACATGAGGAACTGTATTAAAGGGTTGCGGAATTAGGAAGGTTGAGAACCACTGCGGGACACTTTTCACTTGCAACCACAGGAGGGCACCCAAGCTGAGGAGATGACTGGAAACTTTAAACCTGGAGGCCTGAGCCCCAAGTATTCGACACCCCCATGCCCTCCCCTGCCTGTGAGAGCTGGAGAAATCTCCCTCCTGAGGCTGTTGTCTGCAGAAGGTAAGGCAGCAGGAGTGTCACCCCTCAGAGCGACACCCGTCAAGGCACTTTCCACTTTCTTTGGCAGGACTGACCCTGCAGAGGAAATACTAACCCCAATACCTTCTGCCTGGCCATAGGTGAACCCTGTGATCAGTGACCCAGAAGACATAGCTCTAGACACAGCAGAGGGCAGAAAATTAGAGGCCTTTAGGTTACCCAGGCACCAGTGATAAGAAGAGAAACCCTTATAAAGAAAAGGGCCCCAGTGTTTATATGGAGACACAGGTGAGGTGTGGGGTGACCCTTGGCTTCTCTTTTTGCTTTATTGTCTAGGAAGAGACACTCCTCACCCTCCTAGGATAATATCAGTCTCTTGGGTTTCATTGTTAGGCCTCACCCTTTCTCCATTAAATATATCCCTTTTCTCAGTACTAAGTAAAAAGAGAACCCAGTTTGAAAGAGAGAGAGCGCGCGCGCCAGGTCAGTTCTGGAAACTCTGAGAGGAAGGGCTTGTAATATGACATAATAATTATGTTACTTAATATTGACATAATACTTCAAATGCTTTATATTCTCCTATGAGCCCCAAACTCCCCTAGAATGAGACTGAGCTATAAAGATGTTAATTAACTCAAAATTTATTTATTAAATATCTACTCTGTACAGAAGTACTAGGGACAGATCATAAACAGGACAGATAGAATCTTTGTTTTTATTTGATTACTTTTTAGTTGGAGACCCTGACAATAGAAAGTGCAAATGTGTAGGTAATAGTTGTGGACAGACAGTGATGGGGTTGGAGTACAGCGTTCAGTAGAGTGATGAGAAAAACCTCTCTGAGGAGATAACTGAACTAAGAAAGAAGATGATTCAAGATTAGACATACAGAAATCTTGACTACCTGCCTTCAGAACTCAGAAACTGAGATTACTGTCTGCTCCCAATCATCAGCCTTTGTTTTTCTTTTGTTTCCATAGAGATGCTTACCTGATTGCTTATATCATAGGCTTAACTTTGGGAGCCCAACTGCATAACCATTTCCTGAAGTGAGACACAACTGTTTAACTGAACTGAACTTTTCTCAAGACTAAAACTAGTTCAGTGAGATATAGAAGTCTATCAACAGAGGAGAGCACTGTGGGGGTTCAGAGAAAGTCACCCCAAGATGTGCCTCTTTAGTATGCACATTGTTCTGCGCTAAAGGCAACTTTAGCCACAGGTTCAAAAGGAACTTCTGCCCCTCCCTTATCTACCTAAAAGTACTTAAATTAGGGGCCTTGCCCATAATAAGAGATCAGAGGTCATTTCTTTTGACCTGCCTATAAGGCAGGACAAATTTCTATTTACTAAGCATCTGCTTCTTATCATCCTGCAATGACCCTTTGAAGTCCCGGAGGCACCTTACCTCATCGCTAGCTCAGAATGTCTTATATACCCATGTTCCTTTCTACCTCTGAAACTCTCCTGCATGTGGGGTCTCTGACTCTCTTATGTATGCGGGGTTCCAATACATGTGTATTTATTAAATTTGGTTATTTTCTCTTGCAAAAAAAAGTCAATGGCATGAGGGAAGCAGCCACTTAAAGATCTGAGGAAAAGCCCTGGTCGGTTTGGCTCAGTGGTTAGAGTGTCAGCCCACGGACCAGAAAGACCCGGGTTCAGTTCCTGCTAAGGGCACGTACCTCGGTTGTAGTTTGTCCCTGGCCCCGGTTGGGGTTGTGCGGGTGGCAACCAGTCGATGTATCTCTCTCACATCAATGCATCTCTCTCTCTCTCTTCCTCCCTCTCTCCCTCCCACTCTATCTGAAGATAAATGCAAAAATGTCCTCAGGTGAGAATTAAAAAAAAAAAAAAATCTGAGGAAAAAATATTTCAGGCATAATTTGCTTCAAGTGCAAAGGCCCTGAAGCAGGAACACCTGGATGTTCAGAACCAGAATGACCAGAGCATTGTGAACATGAGGTGGCACAGTAGAGATGAGGTCAGATCACATGGCATCTTGGACTACAGCCAAGATTTGGAATGTATTCTAAATGCACTGGGAGGCCATGTAAGGATTTTTAATGAGAAGTAGAAATTATCTGCTTTATGATTTTAAAAGAATGTTCTACAGCTATATGGAAAATGGATTATCTAGAGGCAAGATAGAAAGCAGAGAAACTAGTTAGGAATCTATTAGCAGAGCCCAGAAGAAATGTGATTGGTGGCCTAGACAGGATGCAGTGGAGGTAAGAGAAGTAGCCAGATTTGCGTAGGTACTAGATAAAGATTCAACAGGACTTCCAAGTGTGGGGACTGTTGAGACACTAGCAATCAAGATAACTCCTGGGTTTTTAGTTTGAGCAACTGGGTGTATGGTGGTACTATTTACTGAGAGGGTGAAAATAGGAGAAACAACTGTGCAGGAAGAGAA